AACCACTGCAGTGCGGTGCAACGCAATGCAAAGCAAGGCAGTGCAATGCAAGGCAACGCAATGCAATGCAATTGCAATGCAACGCGATGCGATTGCAGTGCAGTGCGGTTTCAGTGCAACATGGGGAGCGCAGCTGGGTGGCGGCGACGGATGGGAGCGGGGCTGCATGGCCCGCGAAGGGATTTGTTATGGGGGATTGGTACGGCGACGGACGGGAACGGGGCCGCTGAGGCCGCGGATGGGCCCAGCTTCCTGGAAGAGACGTACGCATTCTCAAGTGCAAACGTTGTTTTGGGAATTCTGGTTGGTCCCCCCTCCAGCACACGTATTGTTTCTTTTCAATTGACGTGCCCCTCCTGGGGCTCTCAACCTTTTTTACAAGACAGCGTCTTGCGCTTCAGACTGGTATGCCGGCCCACGGTTTACAACAGCATTGGCTCCCGCTTGATACTTCCTCACGACCTATTCAAATTCGCGCTTTCGCTCAGGACGCCCTTTCACTTTATGCAAGGCTCGCACTCTCGTGTGGGACTTCCTTTTTAAGTTTTGAGACGCTGCGCCCTCGACACTCAGGTACCACGCTCTCGCTCAGGACTTCTTACGATTTAATGGGGAGTCGCGCTTTCGCTCGAGACTTCCTCGCGATTCATGCAGGACTGACGCTTCAGCGACCCGCCCGCTCGACCTGGCCATCTGGGCCCGCTTGACCCGCCTGTTGGGGTCAGCCACCCGACCCGCCCGTCTGGTCTTGCTGCTTATTTTCTTGTTCCTAGCCCCCTATCCTGCTAATCTCTCTCGTGCTCCATCCTTCCCCCTCCCCCTTGTCCCTTCCCTCCTCCCTTCCTTCTCCCGCTTTAGGGGCTGCGCCAAGTACACGTGGCAGGTAAGGAAGATATGCCCCCAAGGGGGTACGATCGCAGGCGCAGAGGGCGGGTATCGAGGGTTTGGGGTGCATGCGAGCAGGCAAGAGCGAATAGTCTTACAATTTTGTTGTTGCTGTTGCTTGTATGGTCATCCTGAGGAATGTCGTTTCGGCCCCTGGGTCCATCAAAAACACCCCGCGGCGAAAAACGAGTCCTTGCGGGGTCGAGCGCTCCAAGGCCCATGTGAAACAGAAACACGACGTCTGCTGTCGGGTCCGCTGTGCCAGGAGCATCTGTCCATTGTGATCTGCGGCCATGTCGACAGTGGCAAGAGCACCACCACTGGCCGCCTGATCTTCGAGCTGGGCGGACTGCCCGAGCGCGAGCTCGAGAAGCTGAAGGCGGAAGCCGAGCGCCTGGGCAAGGGCTCCTTCGCCTTCGCATTCTACATGGACCGCCAGAAGGAGGAGCGCGAGCGCGGCGTGACCATCGCTTGCACCACCAAGGAGTTCTACACCGAGAAGTGGCACTACACCGTCATCGATGCCCCAGGCCATCGCGATTTCATCAAGAACATGATCACAGGCGCTTCCCAGGCGGACGTTGCGCTTATCATGGTCCCGGCCGACGGTAACTTCACGACCGCCATTGCCAAGGGCAACCACAAGGCTGGCGAGATCCAGGGGCAGACTCGACAGCACTCCCGCTTGATCAACTTGCTGGGCGTGAAGCAGATCTGTATTGGCGTCAACAAGATGGACTGTGACACCGCTGGATACAAGCAGTCCCGCTATGACGAGATCGCAAACGAGATGAAGAGCATGCTGGTCAAGGTTGGGTGGAAGAAGGACTTCGTCGAGAAGGGGACGCCGGTGATGCCCATCTCTGGCTGGATGGGTGACAACCTGCTGAAAAAGTCCGACAACATGGGCTGGTGGAAGGGCTGCGATGTCGAGTACGGCAAGGAGACCATCCACGTGGACACCGTCTACGATGTGCTTGACGTGATGTGCCGCGTGCCAGAGAGACCCACCAGCGCGCCAATGCGCATGCCAATCTCAGGCATCTACAAAATCAAGGGCGTCGGCGATGTGCTCGCTGGGCGCGTTGAGCAGGGCGTGGTGAAGCCGGGCGAGGAAGTCGTGTTCTTGCCCACGCACACCGCTTCGAACCCGTGCACGGGCAAGGTGTTCACCGTGGAGATGCACCACCAGCGCGTCGACTTCGCCAACCCTGGAGACAATGTTGGTCTCAACATCAAGGGCCTCGACAAGAACAACATGCCCCGCTCGGGAGACGTGATGGTCTACAAGAAGGATACCACTCTGGGTCAGACGAAAGAGTTCGACGCGCAGATCCAGGTGCTCGATATCCCCAACGAGATCAAGGTCGGCTACTCCCCGATCGGCTTCGTGCGATGCGGACGCGCGGCGTGCCGCATCAGCAAGCTGAAGTGGAAGATGGGCAAGGAGACGGGCGGCAAGAAGATGGAGGACCCCCACTCCCTCAAGTCCAATGAGATGGCGCAGTGCAGCTTCCAGCCGCAGCAGCCGCTGGTGTGCGACACCTTCAAGAACTGCGAGGGCCTGTCGCGCGTTGCATTCATGGACGGCAACGGCGTTGTGATGCTTGGCAAGGTCATCTCGTGCGAGCGCAAGGAGGAGGGCGGCGCCGGCGGCAAGAAGAAGTAAGCCAGGGAAGATATCATGCAGCCCATGCGATCGACGCTTGACCGTGTACGTCGTCTTCCTCATGTCCCTTGAGATAACGTGTGTCCGCCCTGGCCGTGTTAGAAGTTTTGGTAGGACATTATGTTGACATCAGGCGGCGGCGTCTGCTGAGACAACGGACATCTCTTGTTTTGTTTTTGTTTCTCTCTCTCTCTTGTTATCCTCGCGCGTCCTGCGTCCTGCGTCCTCTCTCTCTCTCTATCTTTCTCTCTTTTCCATCTCTTTCTGTCAGCGGCGAGCGAGGGGGGGAACTGAGAAGAAGAGGGCCTTCTCAGAAAGCGGCGGGGCTTTTCGGAAGGCCGGAGGCTTAGAACATTTGTCAAAATGCCGGGGGACTTCGGAGCCTCCAGAGAAGGCCCACCCTTTCTCACTTTTCCCCCGGGCCCGCCGCCGACTGTTCCTGCAACATGTTTGCCTGCCAGGGGGTTCCAGATGCCACGCCAGTGTCGTGATCGAGCGGGACTCAGTCTGGGAGAGGGGTCAGCAGGCGACTCTGATTGAGTTTCCAGCGGATCGTGGAGATATCAGACGTCTCCGACGAATGCGACCTGTTGACGCGACGCTGACGTTGATGTGGCGGGCAGCCGATGACGCGCAGATCACGGGTACAGCACACATCTGTTTACGTGCCGTACCAGTTGGTCCGTTTTTGTTTGGGCTTGGTGCCGCCAACTCTTCACAGTTGTCAGCTGGCGAGGTCCTTGGGTGGACGCTTTGGATGATTGATTGTTTGCTATCGCCGTTGCTTGACTTCTTTCTTGCAGTCACGTCCAGCGCCTTCTCGCAGCTGAACCTCCAACCAGTCAAGTGCGCGGTTTTACCGGCGCCCCATCATCAGCGCAAAAGAACCCTATGACATACATTGCCCTTGTACCATATAGAGGTCCAGGCGGAGAGGGAGGATGAGGACGGGGAGCGGGATGGAGAGGAGGAGCATCGGGTGGATGATTTGGAGGAGGAGGAGGAGGAGGAGGAGGATGAGGTGGAGGACGATGAGGGGAGACACGTTCTTCCGAGCTGTTGGATACACAACCCGTAATTATGCCACCCTTGCTGGCGGCCCATTGTGCCCCCCGGCGCGCACCGCAGCCACTGCACCCATAGCGAGGCCCATTCACGCGCGATTCGGTCCACCTCCTCCTCATCCTCCTCACCGTCCTCCTCCTCCTCCTTCTCCTCCTCCTGCTTCTCCTCCTCCTCCTCCTCCTCCTCCTCCTCCTCCTCCCCCTCCTCCTCGAATCAAACAACTCAACGTGCGCTGCGTCACACTCGCGTTTAGGTTCCCGTCTAAGCGTGTCTGTGTGTATGGGCGTGCGTGCGTGCGTGCGTGTGCTCGTGTGTGTGTGTGTGTGCTGGTGTGTTTGTGATCTGGCCTGGCCGCGCGCGCTCTCCCACTCGACTGTCTACGCCGTGCCGCTGCGCGCGTGGGTGATACGACGCCAATGTGTGTGTGCGCGCGCAGTTTGGCCCACCTTTTCAAGTTCGTGCCGTGTGCAAGCCATTTACGTTTGTGAGATGCGCTTGAGTTTCTACAGGGACTTCGAGCTAATCGTGGTGAGCAGCCTACGCGGGCGCTCCCTTGGGCCGCCTGGGGCGCCCGTTCGCCGCTTCGGCATCTGAGATATCGATGCCCTCGCTAGCGAAAACATGTGTGAGTGCGTGTGTGTGTGTGTGTGTGTGTGTGCGCGTGTGCGTGTGCGCGTGTGCGTGCGTGTGTGTGTGTGTGTGTGTGTGTGTGTGAATTGTTGTGTGCGCGTGTTTGTGTATCCCTGCGCGTATAACATAGGACAATCGCGTGCCGCTGTGGGGCTGTCGCTGGGCTGGAGCGGTTGCCGCAGTCCGTCCTCTCGGGCCTGGGCCTGCTCGCGTGCGTCCCCCACGGGCTGCTTTCCCTGGGTTCCGTGGGCCGGCGCTGGCCGCGTGCTTTTTTTTTGCGCTGCACTCCGCTCCTCGTCTTCCTCCCTCCTCCTCTTCCTCCTCCTCCTCCCTCCTCCTCCTTCTCCTCGTCGTCGTCCTCCTCCTCCCTCCTCCTCCTCCTCCTCGTCGTCATCCTCCTCCTGCTGCCTGCTCCCTGTGGGTTTCTCTGCCCGCCAGGCGCAGCCATTCCCCCCTCGAGGGGCGGCCGCCCCTGCGGGGAGTGGTCAAACCATCGCGAGCCAGGCGGCCCCAGAGGGGCGGTCACCCTTGGAGCCGCCGGCCTGTGCCTCCGCTTCCCCCTCTCCGCCCGCCATCGGTCGGGCTGTCCCGGGTGTCCGGAGAGCCCCCTGCTCGCGCCCCGCTGCCGCGCGCGCGCGCCGCAGTCCGCCCTCGGCGACCGAGGGGAGTGTTACCTCCCTGGCTGCCCCGGCCGCCTGCCGGCTGTCCTCTCCGTCCCCCCCCCCACTCCGCGCTTCCCCTTACCTGGGACTGCGCCTCTCGGTCTGCCTCGCCCCTGTCGAGCACGGAGGCTGGAGGCCTTCGCCCCGTTCTCTGGGCTGCACTCCGAGGCTAGGATTTATACGTAGCCTGACCGCCGCCTGGGGGGACCACTCTTCGGGGACCTCGGCAGGCGGTGGACAAGTATGGATATCTTCGGCCTCCCTGGGGCCAAGAACTGTGCCCATATCCGCCGCCCGCTGGAGTCCCAGGACGTCGGCTCCACAGCGGGTGAGATGGATAGATGGATATATCGATATACTTACCAGCCTCGAACGTATCCCTATCCTTAATATTGACACGCCAAAAGGCGATGACAATCTTAGGGATTCGCCCTCAAAAAATTAGCCTGGCGAAGGACCCAACCATCTGCAGTTGTGAATGCCGCAATTGTGCTGGGTGGTGGCGGACGCATGCGGGCGGTGCCACTGGGACCTTCGGTGGAGCTCCCTATGGGGCCACGAAACGCTGTACTGGGTGGGTGAGACGCGGTCAGCAAGGGCTGTGCTGCGTGGTGGCGGACGCATGCGAGCGGTGCCACTGGGACCTTCGGTGGAGCTCCCTATGGGGCCACGAAGCGCTGTACTGGGTGGGTGAAACGCAGGCAGGGAGCAAGGGCTGTGCAGGGTGGTGGCGGACGCATGCGGGCGGTGCCGCTGGGACCTTTGGTGGAGCTCCCTATAGGGCTACGAAGCGCTGTTCTGGGTGGGTGAAGCGCAGGGAACAAGGGCTGTGCTGGGTGGTGGCGGACGCAAGCGGGCAGTGCCACTGGGACCTTTGGTGGAGCCCCCTATGGGGCCACGAAACGTGCGAGGGGTGTGCCAGAATGGGGTGTGGAACCGCATGCCAGCGCAGCCACTGGGGCCTTCGGTGGAGCTCCCTATGGAGCCACGAAGCGTGTGAGGGGTGTGCCGAAATGGGGGGTGGAACCGCATGCGAGCGCAGCCACTGCGGCGTTCGGTGGAGCTCCCTATGGGGCCACGAGACGTGTGAAGGGCGTGCCGAAAAAGGAGGTGGAACCGCATGCGAGCGCAGCCACTGGGGCCTTCGGTGGAGCTCCCTATGGGGCCACGAACCGTGTGAGGGGTGTGCCGAAATGGGGGGGGAACCACATGCGAGCGCAGCCACTGGGGCGTTCGGTGGAGCTCCCCATGGAGCCACCCACGAAGCGTGTGAGGGGTGTGCCGAAATGGGGGGTGGAACCGCATGCGGGCGCAGCCACTGGGGCCTTCGGTGGAGCTCCCTATGGGGCCACGAAACGTGTGAGGGGTGTGCCAGAATGGGGGGTGGAACTGCATGCGGGCGCAGCCACTGGGGCCTTCGGTGGAGCTCCCTATGGGGCCACGAAACGTGTGAGGGGTGTGCCAGAATGGGTGGTGGAACCGCATGCGGGCGCAGCCACTGGGGCCTTCGGTGGAGCTCCCTATGGGGCCACGAAACGTGTGAGGGGTGTGCCAGAATGGGGGGTGGAACCGCATGCGGGCGCAGCCACTGGGGCCTTCGGTGGAGCTCCCTATGGGGCCACGAAACGTGTGAGGGGTGTGCCAGAATGGGGGGTGGAACCGCATGCGGGCGCAGCCACTGGGGCCTTCGGTGGAGCTCCCTATGGGGCCACGAAACGTGTGAGGGTGTGCCAGAATGGGGGTGGAACCGCATGCGAGCGCAGCCACTGGGGCCTTCGGTGGAGCTCCCTATGGGGCCACGAAACGTGTGAGGGGTGTGCCAGAATGGGGGGTGGAACCGCATGCGGGCGCAGCCACTGGGGCCTTCGGTGGAGCTCCCTATGGGGCCACGAAACGTGTGAGGGGTGTGCCAGAATGGGGGTGGAACCGCATGCGGGCGCAGCCACTGGGGCCTTCGGTGGAGCTCCCTATGGGGCCACGAAACGTGTGAGGGGTGTGCCAGAATGGGGGGTGGAACCGCATGCGGGCGCAGCCACTGGGGCCTTCGGTGGAGCTCCCTATGGGGCCACGAAACGTGTGAGGGGTGTGCCAGAATGGGGGGTGGAACCGCATGCGGGCGCAGCCACTGGGGCCTTCGGTGGAGCTCCCTATGGGGCCACGAAACGTGTGAGGGGTGTGCCAGAATGGGGGGTGGAACCGCATGCGGGCGCAGCCACTGGGGCCTTCGGTGGAGCTCCCTATGGGGCCACGAAACGTGTGAGGGGTGTGCCAGAATGGGTGTGGGAGGGGGAGGAGGGGGGAGGAGGGAGGGAGGAAGGAGGCGGGAACGCGTGGCACCGTCTCTTCAAAACGAGGACCCAACACCACAGGATGGTTGGGAATAAGGGAATCCCTAAGATTGGCATCGTGATGAGGAGATGCCCAACATAGGGATAGGGATATGTTCCAGGCTGGTAAATATACGGTCACATGGATATATGGATCTGGATGTACAGATCTGATTATCCGCGCCTCGCGTGCTCTCCCCGGGCCACCGGGGAGATCCTTCGCCCCGCTCTGTGCTCCGGCCTCGCGCCGCCTTGCTGCCCC